AGTCTGAGGCATCCGTGTGAACCTCAAAGGGCTTGGTGAAGTCAAGCAATGCTAGGACAGGCTCCTGGCTCACTGCGGCCTTGAGATCCTCGAAGGCTCGTTCACACTGTTGGTCCATACCCACGGCTTTTCCTTCTTGAGCAGGTCGGTAAGAGGTGCTGCCCTCGCCGAGTAACCCTGTATAAAACGGCGGTAATAGTTAACTAAACCCAAGAAGGAACGTAATTCTGTTACCTTGGTTGGCGCTTCCCATTCCATGATCGCCTTCACCTTTGCCCCGTCCATCTTGATTCGTCCGTGGCCAATGATATGTCCTAAGAAGCTTACTTCTTCTTGGGCGAAAATGCACTTGAACTCTTTGACGTAAAGCTCATTGTCCTGAAGTACCTTGAACACGGTGCGTAGGTGGTCAGCGTGCTCCTCGAGTGAATTGCTATAAATGACAATGTCGTCTAAGTAGACCACCACAAACCGATCCAAGTATGGATGAAAGATTTCGTTCATGAGCGTACAGAATGTAGCTGGGGCATTCGTGAGTCCAAAGGGCATCACTAACCACTCGTACGACCCATACCGTGTGATGCACGTGGTCTTGGGTTCGTCTCCTTCTGCAATGCGGACTTGGTAGTAACCCTTTTGTAAATCCATCTTGGTGTACACTCGGGCTCCCCCAAGTCGATCGAACAAGTCGGCAATCAAAGGGATGGGATAGCGATTCTTGATTGTTACCTTGTTTAGTGCCCGATAGTCTACGCACATGCGTAGCGTCCCATCATGCTTCTTCTGAAAGAGTACGGGTGCGCCATAAGGTGCTTTGCTCGGTCGGATTTTCCCTGTCTCCACGAGCTCCTTAAGTTGCTTCCTCAATTCCTCAAGCTCGGGTGGCGACATCCGGTACGGGGCCATGGCAGGCGGCTTGGTGCTGGGCTCTAACTCGATCTTGTGATCCACCCCTCGCCTGGGTGGTAGCTTGCTCGGAAGTTCTATCGGCATGACGTCCTTATTCTCTTCAAGGACTTCTCGAATGATGGGTGGTACCTCTGGGGAATTCTCCTCGCACTTGTCCTCCTTTAGCACTGCTAAGTATGTCGGTTCACCTCGCCTTGTACCCTTGGCAAGCTGCATTGCGGAGAGTTGCTTGCTGGCACTCCCGCTGTTACCCTCGATAGTCGGAACCATGCAAGGAGATCCCTTCTCCAAGATGAAAACGGTGCTAAAGGAAGGCATAGGAATCGCTGTTACCTGTCGCAGAAAATCCATGCCAAGTACCACTTTGAAGTCGTCCATGGGTGCCACGGAAAAATTCGCACGTCCTTGCCATGTCCCTAAGCGTAGACCCACGTTGTTCGCGGTTCCCTCAAGTCTACGAGCATTGGCGTTGACCGTCTTTAGCAATCCGGCTCCTTCAGTCCACGATAGTCCCAACCTTGTGGCCTCCTCCTTGGTAATGAAATTGTGGTTGGCCCCTGTGTCCACCAGGGCCTTAGTTGGCTTCCCGTTAATGTGTGCTTCCACGTACATGAGCCCCATGCTATTCGTAGTGCACTCGGGCTTAGCCTTGAGGGCATTGAGGACTTGTAGTGACCCTAACATTGAGGGTGCTTCCTCTTTGTTCTCTGACTCGTGCTGCTCCACGATGGCTGAGAGGGAGCCAAGCTTCGGGCAGTCCTTCATGGCATGAGGTCCTTTGCACACGAAGCAGCCTCCCTTTGGGACGAATGCTTGCTTCTTTTCCTCGTAGCTACGGCGTCCCGCGTTCCGATCCTCCTTAGCCGGCGCTCGTCGCTGGTCTCGGGGGTCTCGGCTCTTATTGTCCCTTTTGTCTCCCCCACCTTTAGTGGGGTACTTCTTGTCCTTCTTGGTGGCATCGGAAGATGATGATGATGGGCGAAACTCGATGAGAGATTCGGCGGCGGCAATTGCGCCATCGACGGTCTTGACGCCCCGGCGTTGTAGCTCTTGTTTTGCCCAGTGTTGGAGTCCGTCCACGAATAAAAAGAGCGAGTCATCTTCGGTCATGTTGGGGATCTGAAGCAAGAGGGTGGTGAACTCTTTGACGTAGTCTTTTATGGAACCCTTTTGCTTGAGTTCCCTCAACTTGCGTCGGGCCTCGTACACAACGTTTTTCGGATAGAATTGTCGCTTGAGTTCCTTAACAAAGTCGTCCCATGTGTCTATCCGGCACGTGCCTCGCTCAATGTCGCCATGTTTTCTGCGCCACCATAACATAGCGGTATCAAAAAGGTAAAGGGAAGCAGTCTTTACCTTGGTTGCCTCGTCGGTTAGATTTATGCCCTCAAAGTATTGTTGCATCCTCCACAAGAAGTTTTCAAATTCTTTGGCGTCCCTTACACCATTATAGCTTGTTGGCTTCGGGCACTCTATCCTTGGTGCGGGCATGGTGCTGCTAGTTTCCCCACTAGCAATCGCCTTCTTACAGACGGCGATGTCCTTGTGCATGTCCTCGATGTCCTTGCGCATCCCCTCGATGCTGGTTAGGAGTCCCTTCACGAGGTCCTCCATTTGACCCTTGAACTCCTCCAAGTGATCCAAGCGGTTCTCTGTGGAGCATTGTGCATCGAGCCCATCATTGACGGTGCCTTTGACGGACTCGATCTCCTCCAAGACGTGCATCTCCAACGTCTTGATGGTAAACTCGACCCTTTCGAGCTTCTCGCCCATCTCCCCTACGACTTGTTCTAGTGACGAGACCTCGGCGCGAGCTCGGCTTTGGTCTCGGCGCTTCTTGTCTTTGGTCGAGGTGGAGGGTTCCCGCCCTCGGGTCTGCTCCTCGGTTAACCCCGACCCGGACACGTCTTGCTCCTTATCTCCGGCCATACTTAACACGGTACCGAGCATGGCTCTGATACCACTTGTCACGCCCTTGTTCCTCGAAACCTTGGTTGCGTGCGGCCTTAGCCCCTCGTGCGCCCTTCGCAGCTAGCTAAGTCAGCCTCACCGTGCCTGGAACGTGCTCGGTGTGTGCAAGTGCTTGGCAAAGGAATATGCAAGGGAGAATGAAAGGAAAGTGCTTGTACTACTATTCACACAAACTTTGTACAAGAGAGCTTGATTGTTGCTTGGATCGGGACCAAATGAGTGGGGCGTCCCCTATTTATAGTTGCCCCACCGCCTTTAAAGAACTCTCTAGATCCTACAAGGGTCTTGAGGGTTTTAGTCCCTTCTACAAAACTCCTACTTCATACACACAAGTCCTAGAACCTTCTACATGCTTCATGCCCTATCTACAAGCCTCTACAAGGTTCTAGGGCCTTCATGTCCCTACTACAATTATCTACACGATTCTAGGGCCTTCTAGAATCTTCTAGGCAAAACTAGCCCCTTCTATGTACAAGACTTAGGCATGGGGCGCCCTAAGTCGTTCAAAAGCACGAGTTGGCTCCGTGCGTGTGCGGGCTGTGCGCGCGCGCTTGCTGCGTGCGCGTGTCCTGCTTGTGCGCGCGCGGGGCTACTCGGGTCAGCACGGGTCAGGTGGCGCGGGGCGTTACACATCGCTCGACCAACGTGGCATCTCTAATATTGGACTTGTACGACTGGCCTAGCGAACCGAAATATTCCTTTAACTATATAATATCCCATATCAGAGATGAACTATGCATTTGACCTCTAGTCTTGCCGACGGACTTCCGATTAGGTTTAGGGTTCATATTTTTTTTGAAATTGAGTTTTTTTTTTGACGATTTTAGGTTTAAGTTTTGACTGAATATTACGAAGCATTGAACTCGATCTTATTTGAGGAGTTTCATCGGCATCATTGGTGGTTTTTTGTCGAGAAGGTCGTGAGATTTTCGTCTTGTGGAGAAGGAGATCGTGGCGTGGTGCGGTTACTTTTGCAGAGATAATGTGTTGCGATTTTCAAGAGTGCAAATCACATTTAATTGGTAAGAATATAGGTTAATAATAATTATTGGCACAAATCACATCATTCTTTTAAATTAAAAAAGAAAAACTAAAAAGTTGAAATTAAAATTTTCTAACACCGCGTTATTAGTTCTTTCTTTATCCCTAAATAATTCTGCTGCTCCCATTGTCAATTTTTTATGTTCGCGCTTTCCTCGTGCGCCAGATTGACATAACATAATGTCCGAATTTTTAAAAAAAGTAGTGCAGGCGCCATTTCGTTTATCCCTTCCAAGAATATGCTACTGCGAAGTTTTATTCATCACTTATCATTTGAGTACATGTATATAATTTGCATAGTTATTAGTTACATCTCTTATAATCACACTGCCCAACTTCAACTTGGTTCTGTTTTCCAAATCCCATTTTCTAATTCAAAGCAGCTCCATTTCAAAATGTGTGGTCATGATGAACAAATTCTATATTTGGGGGAATTATATTGTGTCACGCACTTAAACAAGTTCCTGAGCTGCAGAACAGATTTCTTGCGATTTTCCAGTTTTCTTATGTTCTCTTGAACCTTGCGCCATGTTTGGCTGTTCCATCTGCTAAAATATTTCGTCGTTGAAGTTCAATGATATGCTCGTAAGCTCCACCGGCAGATACTGTGATTTTTCCCAAGACAAATGCTGAAATTTAGCGGTACGCTTGTGTAATCGTGTTTGATGATGCTTGGGTATAGCTGATTTTTCGTATTTAAGCTGTTTGAAATTATATTGGTTTTTCTGGTTTTGAATTGCAGGTTGTTTCTTCATACGGATGAAATTTGGCTGGAAGAAGAAGCGGGTTTGGGAATCACACTTATCAAGAGTAAGATTTACGGTAATGATACAGTTATTGAAGAAAAAACAAGGAAACA